TAAACCCTAAAAGCCCCAAACCCCAAAAAAAAAAAGGGCGCCCACTCAGAAGGCCACCGAGGAGCTCCTCAATGAGACGCTGAGCCAGGCCGGAGCCTCCCTGCTCTCCGAGCCTTTTTTTCGTTCAGGGCTCTGCTCTTTGGGGTTTAGGGGTTTGGGGGTTTGGGGGGTTGGGGGTTTAGGATTTAGGGTTTAGGGTTCTGGGCTTCGGATTTAGGATTTGAGGTTTAGGGTTTAAGGGTTTACTGAATTCCTGCCGCAGGGATCTCGTAGCGGTAGAAATAGTAACAGCGGGGATGAATGGTAACTAGTCATAGTCGTAACTCGTAGTCTCTGCAGTAGTAACTGTAGCAGTTAGCACAAACAGTCCTTGCAGTTTGTTTGAGCAGTGCGAGTTTTGTAGGGGTTTCAGGGGTTTGAGGTTTGCGGGTTTTCCGGGCGAGGGATTTAGTTTGAGTTGGGGGTGTTCGGGTGCTAGGCTCCAGGGCCTTTCAACCCGGACAGCCTCTCATGGCTCCGGCCAACCCCTTCAAGACTTTGTGTAGTTTCCTTTCTGGGGCCAACCATAAACCCTAAACCCCCGAACCCTAAAGTTCCTAAACACCCCAACCCTAAAGTTCCTAAACACCCCAACCCTAAAGTTCCTGGACCCCCCAACCCTAAAGTTCCCAAACCCCCCAAACCTAAACTTCCTACACCTCCAAACCCTAAAGTTCCTGAAGCCCCAAAGCCGTAAAGCCCTAAACCTCAAGAGCACTAGGCCCCCGGCATAGTGTAACTCTTCCCCGACCCGGTGATGCCGTAGGTGCAGATGAGCCCGCGGAAGCCCTTGAGAACGAAATCCTGAGTTTTCGGTGTTCGCTATAAGGATTTAGGGTTTAGGGCTTAGTCGGTTTAGGATGTAGGGTTTAGGGCTTAATGGGTTTAGGGTTTTAGGGTTTAGGGCTTAATGGGTTTAGGGTTTAGGGGAACATGGGTATAGGGCTGAGGATTCTTCGCGGCTCTCTACAGCGAGGGCTCTGTAAGGGTCCCAAAAAAGGCGCCGCAAGAAGGGCTCAGAAGGTTCCGTAAGGGTTCTACAAGTGACAAGAGTTCCAAAAAAAGTGGTTTTACGGTTTTGGGGTTTAGGGTGTAGGTTTCAGGGCCTCGGGGGATCAACTTTTGGGGCTCTAGTATGGGCCTAGGTTTCCAGGGCTTAGGGCATGGAGTTTTTTGCCGAGGAGGAGTTGGATTCTACTGTATTGAAGGTGTCAGCAGAGGCTTTCGTAAGGTTGCTTGAAGAGAATCTTGGGACGCTGTGGAACTTAACATACTTAGCTACCATAAGAGACTCTAAACCCCAAGCCCCTAAAACCCTAAACCCCTAAAAGGCCCTAAAGCCCTAAACCCTAAAACCCTAAAGCCCTAAACCCCCAAGTCCTCAAAACCCTGAACTCAAAATCCTAAACCCTCAAACTCCAAAGTCCTGAACCCCTAAAGCAGGCAAAGCCTCCAGCATCTCTGGTCCGACCCTCGAATAGACGGCATCCTGCGTAGAGTCCTCGGTGAAGGCATGGTCCACCTGCACCTGCACCTCCTTCCACTCCTTGCGGGAACGCTGCAGATGGAATTTAATTTGATCGGGTTTATGTGTTTCGGGTTTGGCGTTTAGGGTCGATGGCGATTCACTGTAGGGTTCAGAGCTTTTCTAGATTCTAGATTTGCACCTCCTTCCACTCCTTGCGGGATGGCTTTCAATGGAGTTTAGGGTTGTGGGTTTAGCGAGTTTGCACCGCTCCTTGCAGCCTGGCTTCAGATGCAGTGTAGGGCCTTACTGTAGAGGGAATTTCCAGCGCTGCAACCCGGTGCTTCTTTATGGAGCCTTATGGGGGCTTAGGGCTCTTCCCTCGATTTGCCAACGAGTGTATAGATTTTACAAGGCTTCGGAAACAGAGGAAGCTGAAGCTCCGGGCTGATCAAGGGGGCTCTGAAAAGTCTTTTCAAGCCTTGTGTGGATTTTTGCCTTCCTCAACCCTCAACCCTTCTTCAACCCTCATTGAACCCTGAAACCCTGAACCCTAACAGAACCCTGAAGCCTAGACCACCCCCCACCCCCACCCTACACCCCACTCCACCCCCCACTCCTCTTTGCTTTGGGACTTCCAGGGGAACTTGATGGTGTGCTCCCCTTCCAGACTGATCCGTCGGGACCCTGGCTCCTCCTGAGGCGCTTGCTTGTTTTTCACCCTAAACCCTAGACCCTAAACCCTAAACCCTGCAATTTTTTAGGGGGTCTTAGGGTCTTCGGGTCTTCGGGTCTTCGGGCCCTGGGCTCTACGGAGCTAGGGTTTGCACAAGGGCTCCTCCTGGTCGCGGCGGCGCCCGAGAAGTACAGGAACCTCGGTGTCGCTCGCCGGGATGCCGGGCCCTTTCAGCGCCGGAAGCTTCACCTGAAAGGCTCCTTTAAGGAAGGAAGGCTCCCTGGATAAAATTCGGGCCCCAGAAAGGGACGTGAGGTTTAGGGTTATGGAGTATGGGTCCAGGGTTTAAGGGCTAGGCAGCTTCAATACCGGTTGTGGGGTTTAGGGCTAGGGGTTCAGGGATCTCTCCAACCTTGTATGGCTGTTGTTGTGGGGTTTAGGGCTTGTTTCGGCCTCCGTCGGAGGTCGAAACCGCACATAGACGCGGGGCCGGCCGTGCATTGCTTCACAAGGCAGGGAAACCGGCCAGGCTCGTCTTGAGCCCTGTCGCGGTAAAGGCGTATACTCTACCTCTCAGGTCCTGTCTGGGAGGGCTTCAGGCTTTGGGTTTCGATGCCGGCTGAGTTATGCCCCAAGAACATAAAGTTGCATGACAACGCATCCACACGGCCACCCTCCTAAGTTTGAAACACCAACACCTCCCGGAATCCCCCCGGCACCACCTCAGCACAGCTCGTTCCCGGGCAGTGACTTCTGACCTCAAGCGCCGAGAGGAACGACACGAAGCGATTTCAGGCGTTCTCCGGGGCCTGGGTCCTCAGAACCGACTTTCGAGCCCTGCAGACTAATTAAGTGCCAGCATCACTTTCTTCTCCACGCCTTGAGAGTTTGAGAATCGGGCTGGCGACCTCTGACCTGCGCAGCATTGCCACCACAGTCAACATTACTCAAAATCGACGAAGCCAAGCTCAGCAGACCAAAAGGCTTCAGAACTCCATGGCTCGACGACTTCGCGAATTGCTTTTTCCTTCTCACACAAACATCTATGACCTGCCTCGGACATGCTTAAGCATCCGCATTGGCTTAGGCCCTTGTCCATAGCTAAAGCTGCTTTAAAGCGAATGCTCTATGCACTCAAAACGCATGGCTCAAGACTGAACTTCGTAGCCTTGTCTGGAGCCCCATGCACACACAAAAGCCGCTGCGCCCTGGTGAAAACCTGTTCCCACAGCCTTGGCAACTAACTTTCCTCAATTACAATTATCGACTATCGACCGCAGTATTCAGTGTTGGTGTAGTTGCAATTGCCAGGCACCGCAATGATCATAATTTGTCGCCTCACCACTGCCGCTGCCTCCTCCTCCTACTCATCCTCAGTTGTTTGGCATCTCACATTGCTGTTGGGTTGCAGGAGACAGGGAGCCCGGACTTACAATCAAGATGAATACTGGTGTCACAACAGCACTGATGTAGCATAGATATGTTTGCGTGTATAAACACATTCATATACAAACAAGTATATGCTGATTATGACTATGACCATGATTAGTATTGCTTTGCTGCTTTCCCAACCTGCTAATTATGATTAAGATCCTGCACTTCGTATTGTTCTTGGTATTATAGACATAAAAACCCAATGTAATCTATTCGATGTACCGTAAGCTGCCTCGCGAGCGGGCTGCCAGCCTCATTCTCACTCGCGGGCTTTAGGTCTTCGAGGGTAACATAAACACTTCTAGGGGAGGCTACGTACCGTGAGTAGTGCCTGGGTTGGGGTTTACTGTTCTGAGAAGTTGAAATGCGGGTCTGAGAACATGGCCCGTCGCGCTACGTTACTTTCCGGGCCGCATGCCCTCTGCACACGGGAAGCCGGCACCGGAGGTTCGAAACAGGGACCAGGTCGGAACGAACAATTTCTGCGCAGCATTGTCACCACAGTCAACATTACAATTGTCGACCGCAGTATCAGTGTTGGTGTCGTTGCCATTGCCAGGCTCGAAACCGAATCAGCATCGCAATGATTCTAATGCGTCGCCTCACCCGCTGCCCTCCTACTCATCCTCAGTTGTTTGGCATCTCACTTTGCTATTCAGTTGGAGGAAACAGGGAGCCCGGACTGGCAATCAAGATGAATACTGGGGTCACAACAGCACTGACACCCCTTCGCCAGGAAGTTGCGCCCACAGTCTGCACAAAACTAAATCCAGACCACGCACCATTTCAACTAAAGCCTCTCGTTCTGACTTTCACCCAAACCCTATGCCCCAGACCGTAAATACAGCGCTCGGCACAACGGGACTAGACGTAAGGCTAAGCGAAGGTTCGAGGAGAACCAAGCTGCATGGTGTGTCTGTGTGTCTGTGTCTATGTGTATGTACGTGTGTATGTATATGTACATGTACATATGATCTGTTTATCTATTGTATATTTCTGTGTATATCTATATATTTAGTGATAAATATATGTATTCATGACTATTTGTGTTAGTCTTCGTTTTTTATTACTGTGTTTTTGTATGAATAAACAAATAGTTAAATAAATGAAGAAAGAACGAAATAAATGTGTATGTATATATATACACATACACACACATGTACACGTGTATGTAGCATAGATATGTCTGCGTGTATAAACACATTCATATACAAACAAGTATATGCTGATTATGACTATGACCATGATTAGTATAGCTTTGCTGCTTTCCCAACCTGCTAATTATGATTAAGATCCTGCACTTCGTATTGTTCTTGGCATTATAGACATAAAAACCCAATGTAATCTATTCGATGTACCGTAAGCTGCCTCGCGAGCGGGCTGCCAGCCTCATTCTCACTCGCGGGCTTTAGGTCTTCGAGTGTATCACAAACACTTCTAGGGGAGGCTACGTACCGTGAGTAGTGCCTGAGCTGGGGTTTAGGGCTTTAGGGTTTAGGGCTCAGGGCCTGTTCTGAGAAGTTGAGATGCGGGTCTGGGAACATGGCCCCTTCCGGGAAGCCGGCACCGGAGGTTGAGGGAACGGGTCGGAACTCTGACAACGGAACGGGTCGGAGCTCCTGCAATTGGGGGCCTCTGGCCTGGCATATAAGTAGGCTAAAGGGCCTACCTATCTAAAGCAGGAAGTGAAGCACTCGGGACTCCACATCAGCCGCCGCGAAAGAGCGGTTCTAAGGTTGAGGTCCTTTTATCAAGACTTTGCAACATCTTCCGGATCTGGCTTTGGTCACGCCGAATCCGAGACAGTTCACTCTGCATCTCCCACTGCCTGGGTTCTTGTTGAGCAACTTGAACAGCTTACTCTACTAAGCGATCCAGATTATTTGCGATGATCCCTTAACCATAACTTAGCGACATTAACTTATCAGAATCAGGAAACCCTACTATATACCACGGATTTCTATGATGGTGCCATATGTTAAGAGCCCAGCTGCACCTCCCAAAGTTTCAGATTCTTCGCCGGACTCCGCAGCCGCATGATGCCGCGGATAAACTCCCTCTCCTCCACGTGCTTGTTCTGGTTCTCGTCGATCAGCTTAAAGAGTTTGTGAGCTCGATTGCGGACCTCCTCCGTCGAAATGTCAAGCTGCTCGAACAGCTCTTTGATCCTCTGGGGCAAGAAAAAACCGCACAACTCGAAGCCTATCAGCTCTACAGAAGTCTTTACCATGCTGCACAGCAGCACCATAGGTTCGTCCACTTCCTCCCCATCATCATGGTCATCAGCATCAGCATCACGATCAGCCATCGTCTGCATCACCCACTCAGCATCACATCCGTCATCCTCATCCTCATCATCATTAACACCATCACTAGTTTTCTTGCAACGATTTTAAGCCAGGCAAGAGAACACCGATCTCGCCTGCGATCTTTCAGGGCCTCTGTGAACCGGTCCAGGCTGATCTGATTTCGCCCATCGGTTATCCTGGGCTCTTGTTCTTGTTTCATGAAGGCCGGTTAAGAGGTGCAAGAGACGCTATAGGATGCTATGGCTCTTTCATCACCACAAACTGACTTCCTTAACCAGGAGCGAGTATCTCCCCCAGGCGGAGTATCTCCTGAAAGAGTCGCTTAAGCCGCCCTTCCACCTGATCTGCGCTGGCTGTCTCCACGGCTTTTTGACACAGGTGGGCCGTCAAGACCGTCATCATCATTAAGTAGATCAGAGTCATGTACACACTAATGATGATGCAGGCCAGAGGACTGACGGATCGAATTGGCCTGACTAGGTCATCAAAGTCAAGGCCGCCAAACGTCCCCATGAAGATGTTGTACATACTCTCCCAAAGGGACTCGAAGTGCTCCCCGCAGGATCCCACGTCCGGCTGTCCCACCGCGTCCGGCTGCTGCCTACAAGCGTCCGCAACCACTGCCGTTACCAAAGTGGCGACCGTGGAGATCGAGAAGAACAGCACGAACACTGCGGAAAGGAGGGGCACCACGGCCCCTTTGATGAGGTCCATCTGAACCTGTCAGCATGACACACACACAGGGCACAGGGAGCAGCTTCTTCAAGTCGAAAGCCCCTGCCTCCATGCTTGCGAAGGCGGGGATGAAGCGCAGGCAGCGCACGATGCGAAACCAGCGCAGGTACTGGGCGATGCGCAAGTAGGCCGTGGCATGAAGCTCACTCCCAGCTGCGAGCCGCGCTGCCATAGAGACGCCGACATCTACTCCCTGCATGCCGACCACCACCAGGTCCAAGACCAAGAGCACGTCTGGGCTTTTTTTTGCTATGCGGCTTGCTAGTGCCGTAAAGCGCGCCTGACATTCGCATGCACACGAGGCTATAAAGCCCAAAGGTCGGCAGCAATAGCAGAGCACGTCTGGGCAGGGACATCTGCACAGCCTGAGCCTGAAACCCATCTCAAGGGCGAAGAGAAGGAACACGACAAGATTCGCCCACACAAAGAAGTCGGGAAGATCGTGCAGGCCGTAGCGTGCGCAGGAGTCCGCCTCCAGCGCAAGCAGGACCATACTGCCCACGATCAGCAGGATGACGAAGCAGCTGGTGCATGTAGAATCCATTCCCAGCCCCCGCTGGCAGCCTGGCTCCGTAGAACCACTAGAGTGGTGCTGCGTGACATCCTGAAGTTGAGAGTTAGGAGCAAGAACAAAAGAGCTGCAACTACTACGAACTTAAGCTAAAAATCCTTCAACCAGCCGGAGAATCGAAAAATCATCGCATTTGACTATTATTGTTGCGCTCCCTGTTGGGTGGGAGAATTGGTCAGCTGCACCAGTACTGAGACGACTCCAACTAGACTACACTGGTTACTAGAAGGAGGCTTACCATTGGCGCTCGTTTGAACTCGGCGAAGGACTGGAACTGTGGACTTAAAATCCGTGCCATGGAAGCCCATGCAAACATGACGCCACTGAATGCTGCCCCGCTGCCGGCATACGATCACTGTGGCGGCGAGCAGCGTCACGATCATGACCGCTTTGGCGATCCTTGTCACCGTCACCACCGTCGCCGCAAACATCTCCTTGGCGAAGCATCAAAG